ATTCTCTACTTTTGTTTTATTGCTAATAGCTTCCTGTTACTATTTCATAATTAACTCCTACTGTCAACTTATTCATGCTACATGACTATGCTATTATACTGTTAATAGTTTCCCGATAAGGTTCCTATAATTACATCCTACTACTATGAATCATCTCATACTACCATGAATTATCTCTTCTATTGTTTTACTGTTAATAGCCTACAACTTGGGTTTAGCCAATCAATACAGGCAACACAACAAAATTCATCACTACCTGCAACTTCAACAGTTAACCACAACGTCATCACACCAACTTAATAATTGTCCCTGCTAAAGCATATTGACTCTGTCATCTATTAATCCTACCTGCTATATATGCCAATCTACACTTTGTTTACTTCGGTAAATAACAAATAGTCTCTGCTATTACTTTTGCTAACTCTGCTACATATAAGAATTTTGTAACTAATTTAATAAAGTAACAGACACAAGAAATAGACAACACAAACAAAGGAAAAATATAGCTTTATGGGTGTGCCTCTCGGCACAAAGCTAAAAGGTCGTGCCGCTCACCATGTAGTTGTACCGCTCGGAAAACTCCTCTCCAGACCATGTCGGTCGGCATGCTCGTGTGCCCCTTGGCACAAAGTGTTTCTCACGCAGTTCTTCACAGGCTTACTGATTCCACCACAAAATTCTCCAAATCTTCCTTCGATTAACAATATTTTCACAACAACACGATACAATACAGTATTACATCGATATGGAAACTTAACAATAATTATAGGTAACCTTTAACACAGAGTGTTATTATCACAATGTTGCATACCAATCCAACATCAATTCTGGAATACAGAAACACAATTATATGTGCATCAATTACACCAACCCAATTCATACATACTATTCGTCATAATTCCCATTATAGAGTCAGAACCTCACCCTTACCTCAGATTGAAGGTTGCTCTACAATTTCCGACCGAACCTAGCTTTGCCTCTTTTCCTTGTTCCTTTTCTCTGCCACTTCATACGTTACTGCTCTAAGACTTCCTAATTTTTCTAATTCACCTAATTTCTCATATCAACTTAACCTTATTTCATTAATCATATTTGGGGCTACTTACACACCCTCACCTTACTTCATACCACCATATAACTAATTCCAACAACTTAATCTTATATTATTTCATTAATTTCAACATTATTATTATTATTATAATTAATCAACTAATTAATTAATAATAATCTAACAACTTATACCAACAATTCTCAACATGTCACAACTTCAACAAATAATCCAAAAATAATTTTATTAAATAATTAATTAAATTAACATGCGTTACATCCGGCGCAAAAAGGTTGAGGCACCTTCGCCCTACGAAGCATATTATTCGCCCCCGACGAGGCAACATGAACAGGGACTTCCCTGTGTATTTTCTGCACTACACAAGTCCCAATTTCTATACAAATCCATCTCAGTACATGTCTCAATTCATCACAACTTCACATAGTTTCATCATACAATAACAACACATTCTAATATACATCATATGCATCAATTCATTACAAAACAAAATCACAATTTCATAAATCCCCATTAAATCATCATATTAACATTATCAACCAAAACCCCAACACAAACCTACAATCATCTAAGCCCTATATCGATCATAATAACAATGATAAACTCCCCTTACCTTAGATTCCTAGTCGTAATTCGATCTCTTCTCACGTTCTACAGAAACCCTCTGAGTTCCTCACTGCCCTAGCTCTCTTCACAATGTTCTTCTCACTTTTACGATCGCAGAATGAACATTGACACTCATTTTTCCTTGTTTAACCCTTGGACCCTTTATATGGTCTTCACATCTCACCCTCACTCACTTCACAATATTACTAACTTGTCCTCATAGTCTCTACCTCTTATTATTTTATTTATTTAATTAATAATAATTTTAAATAATCAAAGCTAATTATCTAACATTACTAAAACACCCAATATCACTTAATTCTCACTATACTTCACCCAACATCACATCACATACATCAAATCATCACATATACTCATATATACATCAAAATTACTCGCAATATTCACAATTAAATAATTAAATAAATAATCTAATTATTTTGGGGTGTTATAACATCTTCCTTAACCCCCTATCAATCATAATAAACTGAGATTACACCCCTTACCTCGAATTTTATTTGGACACGTAGCTTCGTCGCTACTAGATGAAGAAGATGCAAAGGCAGTGACCATCTATCAACAACAACAACAATAGTATCAACAACAACAATAACATCAACAACAACAAAGCTTAAACAACAACAAATACATAAACAACAACAATGACATCAACAACAACGAATACATAAATAAAAAAATATACATAAACAACAAGAATGACATGATAATAACATTGGCAACATAAACAAGATCTCAATGGAAAATGATGGTACTGTAGATTCATGGGGAAATTGATTACGTACCGAAGACGTGATGAATAAGTAAAAAATGACAGTGGCTCCTTCTTTGAGTTCTTCCTCAAAAGCTAAACCAAAGGCTAGTCAAGAACGATATGGCTCATTCTTTGAGTTCCCGACGATACAAAAGCACATATAATATTTAAAAAGGTGGTTGGCTCCTTCTTTGAGTTCCTCCTCAACTGATGATGTTGAATGCTAGTTAGGGATGATACTGATTTTTTGTTAGAGTTGCAATGGTGTTGTTTCATTAGGGTTGCAATGGTGTTATTTAGTTTAGGGTTGAAATGGCGATGTTTTGTGAAGGAAACGAAAAAAGGGAACTGAAGAGACAACTTAGCTAACTGTGTTATCTTAAAGTTAATAATACATATCACCATGGTTACTATTAAAACATGTTGTGGTATATGATAAAATTTTATGAAAAACACCAGGTTTTAAGAATTTAAAATTTTAAAGAAAAAAAGAAAGAGACATATCACCACAATTACTATTAAAACTTGTTGTGATATATGATGGAATTTTATGAAAATATCCAGATTTTAAGTAAAGAGACATATCACCACAATTACTATTCAGTAAATCACTTAGAATGCTTATCCCCTTGAACATCTAACATTTTTGTTTGTCGTATGTGCCCCTAATTGAAATTGTCACTTTCATGAAACGATCAATGTATGGTTTCCTTCTTTTTCTGAGTGACCCTGCTGGGTAAGACCATGTTGTGGGTTGATTATTTTAGGAAGTAAACTGAGAAATGAAGGCTTCACATAAATCCTCCAATGAATTTATACTTCCATTTGGGAGGGTTTTGAACCACATCATTATGGCTCACGTCAAGGTTAATGTGAAGAGCTTGCACTTCACTGCCTTTTGGGTGTGTTAGTAATCTATCATTTTATCCACATGCTCAATATGTATGCTTGGATCTCCAGTTGCAACGTAACTTTGCAATTTTGGAGGTTTCATCAGAGATCTCAAGAATCTATTATCGAGAATACAAGAATATAACAAGTTCCTTTTTTGCCTTAGAAATGGAGAGTTTGTGTCATACCTTTCTCCTCTTTGATAATGATGTGTCGATGAACGATGAGGACGATGTATCTCATAAGTAGTATGACTACTTCTCTTTCCTTTAGAATCAGACGGGGAAGTTCTATGTCTTTGGTGTTAGTTGTGTGTTGGCGACCTCAGCATTACTTCTCTTAGAGGCGTAGTTGTGCCAACGAGAACTGAACCTGGTGTGAAAAATCATACTTTCCCTAGAGGATGCCTCTTGTACAGTAATGTCTCATGATGGATCATATTGAAGGTTCTCTTCAATCCAAAATATTTTATCGGCCATGAATTATGAGTTGTGTTGTTGGGATAGGTTGTAGACGTTGTTGGAAAGTCGGTGGCTCTTGTAGCAATTGGAGGTTTGGAAGCATTTCATGTCCAAGTATAACAGGTTGTGAAAGAGGTCTATATGATGGTTCACAATGAAAAATTCATTGAACAATTCTTGGAGGAGTGAAGTCTTGTTATGTAAGACAAGATGAAGATGCCACTAGAATTGAATCGTCTTCCACTAGAGGAGCAGGAGGAAGAGGCAGAGCTCTAGCAGTTTTAGCGGAAGCTTGTCATTGAACGAAAGATCGAGTGACTTTGGACGTCACCATGCTCGATAAATTTAATAAGATTTGTCTAAGAAGGAGATTGAAACTTCGAGAAATAAGGTTGGTGGTCTAGATCTTTTGTGGAGAAACAATATTTTTTGTGAAAATTGATGGGAATGAGAAGTTGTCTCCACAGACGCTGCCATTGTTCGGTTGCAAACTAGAAATGAATGGTGGTGACGTTGTGTCTTGCCGCACCGATGCAACGAAGTGTGGTGAACCAACAAAGTCGATACTCTAACGTCTAAGTATGTGAGAGAAATCATAGTCATAATGAATTTGAATACCTAAAATGATGTGTCTACTCTTATATACTAAAAATAGTTAAAGTCATTCACATCTGGTGCGGCGTATTGTGTGAACATGTGTTTGATTGATGCGCTAAAGGGAGGAATTATAAACTTCTAACCAAACAAATGTCTATCTAGTATACATGTCTTTTAACTCGAGATATCCTCTTGGGCCTTTTGCAATGGACCTTGCGAGCACCACAAATCAATATTCCTCACAATAAAATCTTAATAACAATTTTAATGAATCTTTTTATTTAATTATTTCACAATAATATATTAATCTTTTATTTAATTAATTATTTTTACCTTTGATGACATTATCTGTAAAACTATTGACGTCTTAATACGAGTTGAATTTCAACTCATAAAAAAGTCTTTAATTGGTCATTATCTTTAATTATTTGTTGTTGATGCCGGTGCATCTCATCCTTTTTTCCCTATAAATTAAACCCCTCTCCTTTTAGCAATCTAAACCAAACCCCACACACACAACACTCTTTGATATCCCTCAAAACACAAAGAACAAATAGCTAAATACCAAACACAAAACTACAAAACACAAGTTTGAGGAGAAAAAGAAATGGAGAATGACACAATTAGAAACATTCCAACTTCCTCTCCATCTAAATTTTCTCACTCTTTGAGTTCTTCACTTCCACCTCTTGCTTCTCAAGTTGTGATGAGTCCTTGTGCTGCTTGCAAGATTTTGAGAAGAAGATGTGCTGACAAATGTGTTTTGGCACCTTATTTTCCTCCCACTGATCCTGCCAAATTTACCACTGCTCATCGTGTCTTTGGTGCCAGCAATATCATCAAGTTCTTACAGGTATGGACCACAAAATCTCACTAATTATTAATATTCAATACTTTAATTTGCCTATTTACAATTACCAGTTCTATTCATAAATCATTAAGTTTGATAAAATATTATTTTTATCAAAATTACGATATTCCATGTGATTTTGTCAAACTCTACTCAAATAAGTTAACTATTTTCACATGTTTTGATTATATATATTTTAATGACAATTTGCACATTTTAAAGTCATAAATTTTTAGTAAAAAAATTGATGATTTGTAACATAAATTAGTAGTATAATGTAGAGTGTTAGTATTATTTAATAATAGGAATAAAACAAAATATTTGCATTTATAATTGCTATGTACTATATAAATTAATTAGGTAGACTACATAGTAATGGTTAAGTTCTCATCCTTTATTTGTTATCAATCTGGAATTGATAACAAATAAAGGATGAGAACTTAACCATTACTATGTAGTCTACCTAATTAATTTATATAGTACATAGCAATTATAAATGCAAATATTTTGTTTTATTCCTATTATTAAATAATACTAACACTCTACATTATACTACTAATTTATGTTTACAAATCATCAATTTTTTTACATAGTATTTTTTTTGGTTTTTTTATGTTTAATGACCAAAATTTTGTTCTATTTAAAAATGAATAAATAATATTTTTGAATAATATGTTATTAGTTTTTTAGATAAAAATCGTGTATCATCAGTGTTTAACTGAAAAAATTAATCTTTCAAATTGAGAAGAATTACATTAGACAACAAACCTCTTCTTAAAAAAATTTAACATTGTCGCCCTCAACAAATTATCAATTGAATTTACTTAAGAAGATTATGTAAAAATAATATTTAAAATTACTTTTTAACACTCTAATCACTTTAGAACAATCAAAACTAAAAAGTGTAGTATATATTTAATCTAATAAAGTTTATTGTCCACATATTACCCATAATTGTTTTGAGTTTCTTCATTAGAAGTTTTTCTTATTTTTGTTGGTGAATCAACCCCTTTTTTCTAGCAGAAGGAATGCATGCAGTCTCACTCTTGGGGACAAAAAGCCTAAAATTCATGAATTTTCAACAACCTAAATTTAACATATACCTTATGGCGGGCCTCCCTAATTAATTCTCATAAGAAAATTATTTAATTTTCAAGACAATATAGTTGACAATTACACATATTTAATCTATCAACCATTTTTTTCTTTCAAATATTCATATCAATATTAAATAATTAAATAACTATCACTAAAATTAATTCATATGTTAAGAAGTTGACTCATATCTCACAAAGAGTGATTTTAATTTAGTGTAAATATGTTTAGCGTATAGTTTGTATGTACTTAGTAAACAAGTTCTAGTAATTTAAAATTATTGTAGTCTCTAAAATAAGTAAAATTTGGCAGAAGATTCTTTCTGTAAGAATTTTCTGAGTTCAACCATGTAATTTATATTGTGATTGATTAAAACAAGTATTCGAATGTTCGTTATTAATGATGAAATGATTCTACTTAATATTTTCAGGAACTTCCGGAGTCTCAACGAGCCGATGCAGTGAGCAGCATGGTTTATGAGGCTAGTGCAAGAATTAGAGATCCTGTTTATGGATGTGCAGGTGCAATTTGTCACCTCCAAAATCAAGTTAATGAGCTTCAAGCACAATTAGCAAAGTCACAAGTTGAACTTATGAACATGCAATTGCAACAATCCAATCTATTGGCCATGATTTGCATGGAAATGAAAGAAACCCCACAAGAATCTCCACAACAATCAATGGACAATTTCATTTCAAGTCCTACTTATAGTAGTGATTACCAAAACAATCTCAACTTCTTTGAGGACAACACTAGCCCAAATTCATTGTGGGAGCCTCTTTGGACATGAAGAATATGAGAACTATATTGATACTAATTTATCTCATATATTGTAAGGCATTTCAAAATAGTTTTGATTACATATCTTTTGAAATAGAAGTCGAAGGAGTCGATTATAATTCAGAATTGTCTATCAGATATGAGTTTAGTGATAAGAGTTTGATCTTGTAAACTTCGAGCAATAGAGTTAAATATATATATTGAAAATGTAAAATAATCATCAAAATACTTTAATTAATAAATATATTTTCTATTTTCTATTTTAAATACTAAGTCAAACATGTTTTTGGCCACCAAATAGAATCATTAAAACAATTTGTTCTCTCATGAGTGTGCCCAATTTCTTCTTCAAAGGTTGTTTTTGACTTTGTGGCTTTGGATTCGTTATAGTTCAACTAAAACACACATTTTCATTCCAATGTAATCTAAAAGACAAATCTAGGCAACAACAATATGAAAGATTGAACAACAGCCAAGTATAGTTAACTATAACTAACTAGATTTTATTATTAAAGAAAATGAGTGATGCCCTCACAATATAAAAAAAATTTATATCGTCAATCAATCACTATTATAAATTTCGTCAAATCAGATTAATATTTAAAAAATTTATATAATATAATAAAATAATATATTTTTATATGATAATAAAACTTTTTTACACGGTTAATAAATCTCTTTTAAACTCTTATTATTAATACAATAATTTTTATACTTTTTATTAAAGTGGTGATTGATGTTGAACGTGCGGAATCTAAAATTTAAAATTTATTAGAGTTAAGGTGAGATTAAATAAAATTTCTTAAAATATTTATCATCGTTAAATTAAGATTAAAAAATTATATTTATTTAATTGTTTCACACTTATTGATAAAGATGTATAAATGAGAAATATAGTATTTTCGATCAAATTAATTTTACATATTATGTATTAATTTGTTAAACATTTATAATACCAATATTATAGAATGAAAAAATATATATATATATATATATATATATATATATATATATATATATATATATATATATATATATATATATATATATATATATATATATATATATATATATATATAGTATTATTAAATAGTACATATTGACTAATAAAATTATTGTGAACCACTGAAGCCAAGAACCAAGCATCAAAAGTTAAAACTTTAGACTTTAAATTGTTGAAAAAAGGTTTTAGAAAAATACAATCTAATAAATATATAATATGATAACAAACAAATTACTCTCTACAGAATATAAACAAAAGAAGCAGGTAAAAAGTTTATATTTCTAATTAAAAGTAAAAATTAAATATGTCTTGCTATAAATAAAAAATTAAATATGTCAACTTTTTAGACATCCTTTTTACTTATATTTCAATATGAAGAATAATTACACATTTTATTAGCCGAGTTAGTTAACAGAACTTTATTATTTTTAACCTCTAAACTTATTGAGGTGACACTAAAACATGTTCCAACTTCCAATGATTTTCAACCAAATATTCCACTTGTTCCTAATTATAAAAGATTTTTAATGTTAATTTCTGTTAGCGTTACAATCGAGGAAGAGTCGAGCGAAGCTTGTATAGCTGTTGGACACTCTTCAACGGAACACTCTACTCACATGCGTGACTCTTACCCACAACCATGTGGAGATATTTTTAATACAAGTAAATTAGTCCCTTTCTCGAACTAAATGTTCATGATACCATTTGTTAGCGCAACAATCGAGGGAGGTTCGAGCGATGAATATTCTTATTTTCGGGACTTTCCGTTTGAGCAACACACTTTTGTGGGAGATACACAATTTTTCTATCTAAAATTTTAAGGTGATAGATGAGTGGACTCTCTCAGTTATAAATGCTCAAGTCACCACATTCATATCCAATGTGGAACTATTTCCCCATACTCACACTTGCTATATTCTCAATACTTTCAACTTTAAATATTCTTTATAGGGAGATTGATATCCTTCTTATTTCTCAACCGCAACGTGCTCTTTGTATTTGTGGAATACAATTCACACTTTGTTAACAATATATTGGAAAAATAAAAAATAAAAAAATAAAAAACAAATTTTCACACTAACGAAAGCATAACCACAAAAAAAATTTAAAAATTTAAAAATTTAAAAATAAAACTCACAAAATCATAATTCAACTCGTAATTTTTATTAAGACAAAATTACAAACTCTCCCAAACAATTTCAAATTTTAAGCAGAAAATTGTAAATTTTACAAACTGCAATTTTTAAAGAGAAAATTGCAAACCCTCCAAACTGTAATTTTAAGGAGAAAATTGCAAACTCTCTCTCAATTGCAACTTTTGAACGGAAAATTGCAAACTCTCTCTCAACTGTAAATTTTGGACAGAAAAATTGCAAATCCTCTCAACTACAGTTTTTGAATGGAAAAATTACAAACCCTCTCAACTGCAATTTTTGAACGGAAAAATTACAATTATTTGGGAGAGTTTGTAATTTTGTCCTGATAAACATTACAAGTTGAATTATGATTTTGTGAGTTTTATTTTTGAATTTTTATGTTTTTCTATTGTTTTGTGGGTAATGCTTCCGCCAGTGTAGAAATTTGTTTTATTTTGTTATTATTTTCCCAACAAGTGGTATCAGAGTCTGGTTCGAGTAAGAGACCGACTCCTTATGTCGAAAGTCTTCCTAACATGATGGTTAGGCGCCATGTCCCTTTGATGTGCCCATGACGAGATAAGGGTGTCTCTCAATGACGGTACATGTATGTGGATGAAAGAGCTTCCGCTTGAGGGGGAGCATAGTGGATGGACTCACATTTGAGGGGGAGATTATTGGGAAACAAATGTGAGTTGTATTGAAATAAGTGTGATATCTAAGTCCCACATTGCTTAGAAAAATGAAGGTTGAGCATTTTATAAGTTAGAGAACCCATATACCTATCACCTTAAGGTTTTGGGTAAATATGTGATGTCTCTCTCATTTATTTAGGTGAGTCTTTGATCTTTAGGTGAATATTTTGTCCAATATGAATGTTTCTCCCTCAATAATAACCCATCACAACCATCATAAACATGAAGTAATTGTAATTATATGCAGTGACAATAATTATAATGTAAGGACGTTGAGGATAGACAGATTGCACTAAGATTTATAGAATTTTATCCTATTACTTAGTCTAGTCCCCTCCTTAAGAACTTTTTCTTTAGATATCCACTAATAAAATGTCTTAAACTTTTAAGGATATGTTCACAAAATTTATTACAAAATATGAACACCACTAGAACCAAACTCTCACAAGTATTTTCACTCACAAGTCACAAAGACAATTTTAGTGAAAGAATATAAAAAAGTAAAGGAGAAAGTAGAAAATAAGAAAAGGATAGTAGAAATTCAAGTTCTAGTATGTTTTGAAATGATGAGAAACCTCCTTTATATAGGAAAAAATATAACTCAAAAATAAAAATGATTAATGAGTTTTTTAATGCTCATAATCGATTATGCGCTAAGTATAATCGATTGTGTAGGCCAAATTTGAAAGATTTTCAAATTCGATATCACTATCAATTAGAAGTTCTCTTAAACGATTAGGAGAAATTATAAAAGAGATAATTAATTAACCCTAGTGTGCTAATTGATTATCTAGTGTAATAACACTTTTGAAGGTGTAATCAAAATTGGTAACCAACTAGTTACTTACATAAAACATTTTCAGGTGAGTTTATAAAAGTATAAAGGCTTCAAAATATTTAAGTGTGTGAGAGAGATACGTTAGTACTTTAAGAGATACTCTTATACTTTTAAAATACATTTATTACTTAAATAAAGGACCAGACGAGGTTTCAAAGTTCTTTTCTTTCCCAATCTCGATGCTTCAATATCCCTTGTTGGATTCACCTTTGATTCAACACTTCATTTGAGACTTGACTTTTTCTATCTGACGAGGCTTGATAAGACTTCTTTGATAGATTTTATCACCAGAGGTTTCTTGATTGAAGATCCTCCAAGACTCCATTGAACTTTGTTTAATATTAGGTGTTGTAATTACAAAACAACCATATATCACTTGCCACTAAGATAATTTGTATATGGTTGTACCTACAAGCACATAGCTCCATAATTTTTCTCAATGTTTTTTGTTAGATTTCCTTTAGTAATCGTCGCCAAATATTATCATTTCTTCTAATTTGTTGAACTAAGTTAATATGAAGAACAATGAGAAGAAAATAAGGACAAGAATGGATTGATGCTATTTTATTAGAATTGTGAACCGTGAACACTATAGAATACAATAGAGGTGGAACAGATATATAGCAGCAGTCAGTAGTGTGTACAACGGTTATACATATTTGCAGTTTGATAAATCCCTAAAACATAGCTAAATTTCCTTATTGTGTAGAGAAATAATCTGGTTATTTTGCTGCATTGATATGTTACAGCTACAAGCCTTAATTCTCCAATGTGTCTCCATTTGTTATGCCATAATTATAGGGTTTCTCTTTGATTATTGGTTCCCATAACTAATATAATTGTTGTCAAAGGAAAGATGGGTACATTTAATACCCTCCCTCAAACGAGGACGAGGTTGAAGGCAGGGTTTGTCCTGGAAGTGTATGGGAATAGACTTTGACACCAGTTTAGTGAGAGGTCGACAACTTGATCATTAGTGGGAATGTAGTGAGTAACAAGAAGCCCAAGTGAGACTCGTTTGCAAACAAAATAATAATCCAATTCAATGTGTTTGCTGCGAGCATGAAACACTAGATTGATGGTCATATAAAGAGTACTAATGTTGTCACAATAGAGTATTGAAGGGGAGGAAAGGGAAATGTGAAGGTATTTTAAGATGAATGTCAACCATTTGAGTTCAACTGTAGTGTTTTCCATGGCCCTATATTCAGCTTCAGTGCTAGAGCAGGAGACCGTGTGTTGTTTCTTTATGCACCATGAGATAAGATTTCCTACAAGGAACATACAATAGCCAGTGGTAGAGCATCGAGTGGCAGGACACCTTTCCCAATCTACATC